TACTACTACTACTACTACTACTACTACTACTACGACCGACCTACTAATACTACTACTACTACTACTACTACTACTACTACTACTACTACTACTACGACTACTACTACTACTACTACTACTACTACTACTACTACTACTACTACGACTACTACTACTACTACGATACTACTACGACTACTACTACTACTACTACTACTACCACTACTACTACTACTACTACTACTACTACTACTACGACTACGACTACTACTACATATACTAGTAACTACTACTACTACTACACTACTACTACTACTATTACTACTACTACTACTACTACTACTACTACTACTACTACTACTACTACTACTACTACTACTACTACTACTACTACTACTACTACTGTCTGCGCCCTTCCGTATCTGGTACTGAACACGCCACGCCTGTGTTGTTCTATCCCAGTCTATGTGCTGGACGCCGCTATGGCGCTGCGCGTTGCGCGGGCCCGAGCTGATAGGCGCGAGCGAGCGGTCCTCCTCCTGGAGCCGCCGCAGCGCCTCGACGGCGGCGAGCCGCGCCCGCTCCACCGCCTCTGGGCTGGGTCGTGGTGCCTTTGTCCGGGCCGTACTGCATCACGTATCTCACACAACACGTCTGTCTCTTTCTGACCCACGGAACGCGTTTGCCGCGCTGGCGTTCCGCGATCTGTGGGCCGGCGGACGGATCGCCCGAGCTGCTCGGCCCGAGCGTGCCGTCCTGCTCCTAAAGCCGCCGCTGCGCATCGTCTCCGACGACCAGAAACAACCCCTCGAGAAGCGGCACCTCCTGGCGGCCGCGGCCGGCGCAGGGCACGCCCGAGCCGCTCGGCTCGAGGGCGCGGTCCTCCTCCTGGAGCCGCCGCAGCGCCTCGACGGCGGCGAGCCGCGCCTGCTCCACCTCCTCTGGCGACTCGTCCTTCGGCCGGAAGGTGGGCTGCTTGCTGCGACCTTGATCCGGGCCGTTCTGTACCTTATACTTAATGACCCATACCTTTTTGTGTTTCTCCCAGGCTATGTGCTTGACGCCGCTTGGGCTAGGGCTGCCAGCGCGGACCTGTCCGAGCCTGTCCTCCTCCTCCAGCCGCCGCAGCGCCTGGACGGCGGCGAGCCGCGCCTGCTCCACCTCTTCTGGCGACTCGTCCTTCGGGCGGAACGCGGGCGTCTTTCTGCGACCTTGATCAGGGCCGTTCTGTATCTTATATCTAATGCACCACGCTGTCTTGCGTTTGTCCCAGACTATGTGCTTGACACCGCTCTGGCGCTCCGCAGGGCTGGGGCTGCCAGCGCGGACCTGCCCGAGCCTGTCCTCCTCCATGAGCCGCCGCATCGCCTCGACAGCGGCGAGCCGCGCCTGCTCCACCTCCTCCGACGATTCGTCCTTCGGGCGGAACAAGGGCTGCCTTTGGCGACCTTGATCCGGGCCGTTCTGTATTTTATACTGAACGCGCCACGCCGCCCTGCTCTTCTCCCAGACTATGTGCTCGACGCCGCTCTGGCGCTCCGCAGGGCTGTAGCTGCCAGCGCGGACCTGCCCGAGCCTGTCCTCCTCCATGAGCCGCCGCATCGCCTCGACAGCGGCGAGCCGCGCCTGCTCCACCTCCTCCGACGATTCGTCCTTCGGGCGGAACAAGGGCTGCCTTTGGCGACCTTGATCCGGGCCGTTCTGTATTTTATACTGAACGCGCCACGCCGCCCTGCTCTTCTCCCAGACTATGTGCTCGACGCCGCTCTGGCGCTCCGCAGGGCTGTAGCTGCCAGCGCGGAC